ACTCTAGTTGCTCCAAGGTTAGGCTCGTCGAAGCTTAGAAGTGACAGCTATCCAAGGTTAGGCTCGTCGAAGCTTAGAAGTGACAGCTAGCTAACCACGCGAATAGAAGTCGAGGTAAGGAGTAGTAGCTAGCTCAGTACGAAAGTGGAAACTGAGGATCGATAGGCTCGGATACCAGTGAAACAGGGCTACGGCGCTGCTGCCGCGCACGGCGCGGCTGGCCTGGCCGGCCATGGCGACTAGGGAGAGCTGCGCCGTAGCGAGAGACGAAGAGATAGTAGAACGTCGCAGCGGAAGGGAGAGAAGCTAGGCTAGTGAGAGAAGCCTAGCTCTGGAGACGTAGATGAGAGATCAAGAAGGAGATTCTGAAATTAGATTAGCAAGAGATGATAATACAAGATTCAGACATGGATATTTATGCTAGGAAGAAAGAATGGCGACTTGGGAGGAAAACCGCGTCGCCACTCAATCTAGCATGGCATCTTGGCATAGCACCTCGATGCCATGCCCTGCTGTACTATTCTTCCTGACAGGGACACGGGAGTACGTCCTAGGCTAGCAAGTGGTGCAGTTCGTAGCTAGCTAGGCAAGTCCCGTTCGGAAATTCCCATGCATCTCGCATGGTGATTTCCGTCCTGTTACATCAATGCTCTGCATGCATCAACCAGTCCCTTTAGTTTTTGTTTGTTTGTTTTACATCTACTTAGTACTAGTACTATAGTACCACTCCCGATGCCCCCTGTGTGGTTTTTTTGCTGAGAAGCGATTGCACTCCGGCAGTGGAGGACCAACAGAGGTGAAAAACGTTCAACGTGCGAGGATCATAGGCGAAAAGTGAGCAAAAACCTTTCGTCGTTTGAAACGACGGTAAGACTCGGAAAGGAAGGGAAAGCCGGCAACGGAGTCCGAGGGTTAGGGCGAAAGGGCGAGAAGGGTTTCCTACTAGCGCGAAATTTCCAAGGAACTTCTCGTAAGCAGGGATGGGGGGGGCGGATCGAGCGGCGTGGCGGCGATTGTTGGAGCAAGCGATGGAGGGGGGAGATGGTGAGCTGGACAACGAAAATTTCCTGGAGAAGATGCGGCGTCGACTGGACAGGTGCTCTTCTCGTTCGCTTTGTTCTGTTTTGTTTGTTTGTCTTTAATTTGTCACGGACATTCCAAACGTACCCTCTTGAAGTTCAAGAGAATGTACCCTCGCATTGAAGTTCAGTGAGCTGAACAACATTTCAGCAAAAGATGACTACGCGACGACGTCTACTGCGTCTGGAGGCAGAGCCGCGCCTCTTCGTTCCTACAAACATCATGAGGGGCTAATTTTAGAAGTTCTCTCTGGCACTGCACAATTTTCAGCAGCATATATTACTATCTGCTTCGGTCAATTCCAGCAGAGTCACTACTCACGTGTCCGTCCGGGCCCACTCTCAGCGTGTGAGTGTCCGCGGGAGCTGCCAGAGTGAACGTGAGGAAGGGGTCTGGCCAGTGCCACACCACACACAGTCCCGGTCTGTGGAAGGGCCTTCCATTCCCTCCATCCCCCATCCATTCCTCACCCCCTCACAGCCATCCATTCTCCCCAGGATATAGGTGCGCTTTGAAGGGGTGAGCGCGTCCGCCAAGGTGCAAGTGGGGTCGAAGACTCCCAAGCACCCCTCCCGTCTTCTACCCATCCCCCCCATCCCCCACAGCGTGAGAGTGTCGTTCCCCGGAGTGGAGGTGCGCTTTGAGGGGGTGAGCGCGTCCGCCAAGGTGCAAGTGGGGGCGAGGGGCCTGCCGACGCTCTTCAACCAGCTCGCCAACTCCACCGCCGCGCTGCTGAGGGAGCTGCGCCTACTCAAGGACCAGCGCCGCCTGTTCTTCGCTCTTGATGGCTGCTCTGGCATCCTCAAGCCTGGCAGGTAGGCTTGTGAGTCGTTGCAACGAATATTTGCTGAGGGAAATGCGGCTAGTCTAGGACCAGCGCCGCCTCTTCTTCGTCCTCGGGTGCGGCGATTGTGGCCATGTTTTGCAACGCCTTGAAAGGAAGAACCCTCGAGATCCTTTCACCACTGGCAATCATCACCAACTAGCACCAGCACTTAGCATCATCCCAAATTTCGCAACTCACAGCATCACCTTCAATATCCCAGCATTTATCATCACCAGCGGCCCCACCCATTCCTCCCAACTCACAGGATGACGCTGCTGCTCGGCCCGCCAGGCAGCGGCAAGTCAACACTCCTCAAGATTATGTTTTCGGTGCTTCATCCTAATCGGCACCTAATCTCCAGCCTTTCTCTACTCCACACCACACCATGTGCTCTTCCCAACTCACAGGATGACGCTGCTGCTGGGGCCGCCAGGCAGCGGCAAGTCAACGCTGCTGAGGACCCGTCAGGGAAGGCGGAGAGGGAGCTGGGCGTGCAGGGCGAGGTGACGTACAACGGCCGCCCGGGGAGCCAGTTTGTGCTGCCGCGCTCCGTGGCGTTTGTGCCTCAGACGGACTCCCACATTGGGGAAATGACCGTCAGGGAGACCCTCGAGTTCTCCGCTCGCCTGCAGGGGCCCGGCCACCGGGCAGGTGAGGACTGAGACGTTTCGAAAGGTAGATGTGCACATGAGAAAGATGACTGTTAGGGAGACTGTCTGTGGGGAGACTCTGAAGTTCCCCGCTCGCCTGCAAGGGCCCGGCCACCGGGCAGGTGAGGTTTGGGGGACTTTTGCAACCCTCTCTCCCTCCCTCCCTTCCTTCTCCCTCCCCCCCTCCTTCCCTCCCTCCCTCGCTCCCTCCCTCCCTCCCTCCCCCCCTCCTTCCCTCCCTGCCTCCCTCCCTCCTTCCCTCCCTCCCTCCCTCCCTCCCTCCCTCCCTCCCTCCCTCCCTCCCTCCCTCCCTCCCTCCCTCCCTCCCTCCCTCCCTCCCTCCCTCCCTCCCTCGCTCCCTCCCTCACTTCCTACCTCCCTCCCTTCCTACCTCCCTCTCTCCCCCTTCCCACCTCCCTCCCTCCATCCCTCCATCCCTCCCTCCCTCCCTTCCTACCTCCCTCCCTCCATCCCTCCCATCATCATCTCTTCCTTCTCGATGGTCTTCATTCGCCTCATCACCCAGTCGGCCATTCTCCCTCCCCTCCCTCCCTATACAGACCTATGTTAGCGGCTGGAGGAACCCACTCTACACCCGACCATTCTTCTCTCCACTCCCTCTTCTCTTCCCCCCCTCGTCTCCCCACTCCCTCGTTTCCCCACATTCTTCTCACCTTATTCATCGCTCATTTCGCACCCTTCCCCCATACCCTCCCCGCTCAGATCTATTTCGACAGCTGGAGGAGAAAGAACGGGATGCGGGAGTCCAGCCTGATGACGTCATGCAAGCTGTTATGAAGGTAGTGATGACGTCATGCAAGCTGTTATGAAGGTAGTGATGACGTCATGCAAGCTGTTATGAAGGTAGTGATGACGTCATGCAAGCTGTTATGAAGGTAGTGATGACGTCATGCAAGCTGTTATGAAGGTAGTGATGACAGTTCCTCCCTCCCCACCAACCCCCCTCTCCTCCCTTGTGTGTTATTCCAGTGCACATGGCAGCGTATGTGTCCCCTACTATGGCGACTTACATGCATGGGCACACATACATGTTTTAAATCGGAAAAGTATTGTTATTGTCGTAGTTCCCGCATGACACTTGATGTCACTCCAATCCAATATGCGCTTAGGATCGGAACACCACATCACCTCCACCCTTCCTACCATATAATCTTTCTCCTCCCTCCACTCTCCTCTGGTGTTGCTTGCATGCCGTAATCACCGTTGCACCTTGCAGGCGATGGCGGATGAGAAGCAGTGCTCGGATGTTGTGGTGCAGTTCGTTCTTAAGGTGTGTGTGTTGGAGTGGGGGGAAAGGAGTGGAGGAGAGGTTCTCATGATTGTTCCTTCTGCGGGCGATGGCAGATGAAAGACAGTGCTCGGATGTTGTGGTGCAGTTTGTTCTTAAGGTGTGTGCGGGGGAGGGAAAGGAGTGGAGGAGAGGTTCTCATGATTGTTCCTTCTGCGGGCGATGGCAGATGAAAGACAGTGCTCGGATGTTGTGGTGCAGTTTGTTCTTAAGGTGTGTGCGGGGGAGGGAAAGGAGTGGAGGAGAGGTTCTCATGATTGTTCCTTCTGCGGGCGATGGCTGATGAAAGACAGTGCTCGGATGTTGTGGTGGATTTCGTTCTTAAAGTGTGTGTGAGGGAGGGGAGGGGGGAAGGGTGGGTGTTCGTGTGCATGAGTGAGTCTTGGTGTGTGTCTGGATGAGCTCACCAATGCTTCTTGGCAGGTGGCTGCTTGCTAGGCCTGGACATGTGTCCTGATACCATGGTAGGGTAAAGCATGCATCAAGGGTAGTCAGGAAAACAGGCAAAATGCATCAGCCTCCTCCATTCTCTTTTCCACTCGATTTTCTCCCGCTCACCTGTCTTGCAGATGCTAGGCATCGACGTGTGTGCTGATACCATGGTAGGCGACAGCATGCGGCGAGGAATTTCCGGGGGGCAGAAGAAGCGGGTTACCACCGCCGAAGCACTCCTGGGTGCAAAGCAAGTCCTCCTATTGGACGAGATCTCCACCGGCCTCGATTCCGCCACCACTTACCAGATCACCCAGTGCCTGCGCAACCTCACGCACTTAACTAATACCACCACCCTCATCTCGCTGCTGCAACCCGCGCCCGAAACCTTTGAGCTGTTTGATGACGTCATGCTGATGTCAGAGGGGCGGATTGTGTACCATGGGCCCAGGGAGGAGGTGGTCAGATTCTTCCAGGAAATGGGGTTTGCGCCGCCCGCCCGCAAGGGAGTGGCTGATTTTTTGCAAGAGGTGAGTTTCTATCATGGTGCCTCCAGCAGCACATCACAGAACATCTAGTTTGTGAGATGTCTCGAAAGGCCTGCAGCACGTCACAGATATTCTTTCCTCATCTTTCTATTTTTTCTTCGCCCTTCCTTATACCCTGGCTTCTTGTGCCGTGCTTCCTGCTGTCCCTCCTCTAGGTCACCTCGTTAAAAGACCAGAAGCAGTACTGGCGCCCCGCCCAGCCCCACCGATACCACTACGTGTCCGTCCGAGCCTTCGAGGAGGCTTTCCGAGCCTCCAGGTTCGGCAAGCAGATGGAAGCAGAGCTCTCCATGCCATTCAAGAAGGATCGGGGCACAGTCACGGGAGGAAACGAGGGGAAAGTTGTGGATGTGAATGACAATGGAGAGGGTGAAGGGAAGGACATGGAAAATGGAGAAGAGGAGGGAAAGGGAGGCAGAGAGGATGGGAGTGCGTCTCTTGCTCTGGCAGACAGGCGGTTTGCGCTTCCTCCCCTTGCGCTCCTCAGCGTCGTGGCGAATCGCGAGTGGCTGCTCATGAGGCGGAATCTGTTTCTCTACATCGTGCAGACCATGCAGGTACAGTACAGTACATTCTCGTTACAGTCACTGTGGTCGGTGAAACCTGTTCATCTGCAGTGTACGGACAGACCACCCAGGTACAGCAGTTTCTCGTTGCAGATGCTTGGTACATGCTTGTTACAGCCACGCTGACCGACCTACCCACTTCCCCTCACTCTCAATTCCCCCTTAACTACCCTCCCACTTTAAATCCACTGCACTACACCCTCGCTCGTTGCCACAAGATTCTTTCTATACCGATATTCTTAACCTTCCACTCGACAAGCCCTCACTCCCCTCTATCCCCTCCCACCCCCATGTCAGATCCTCCCCCTCGCTATAGTCACAATGACGGTCTTCTGGCGCTCCCAGTTCTCCGTCACCCCAGTGGACAGCAATTTCTATCTCGGCGCCATTTTCTTCGGTATAAGCACGATGCTGTTCAGCGGAATAATCGAGCTCACGCTGCTGACGGCCCGCCTGCCCATCTACTTCCTCCAAAGGGACAATCTGCTCTTCCCCGCGTGGGCCTGGTGTGTGCCCATGGCGCTGCTCTCTCTGCCCGTCTCCCTCTGGTCTGCTGGGGTCTGGACCGCCATCACCTACTATGGCATCGGCTTTGCCCCCCAGTTCTCCCGGTGAGTTCTCAGTACTAGTTTCCATGGTTCCATAATGCTCACTCACACTGCTCTCTGCTGGAGTCTGGACCGCCATCACCTACTATGGCATTAGGTTCGCCCCGAAATTCTCCTGGTGAGTTGCTCCCAGGTGGGTTCAGCAAGGTAAGTTCCTCCTGCTAGGTATTTACAAGGACGTATAGTGCTCACTCTACTCATTTTGCTCACTCTACCATCCACCCACCCTCTTCTCCCTCGCAGATTCATCGTCCAGCTTCTCCTCTTCTTCATCACCCACATGTCTGCTTGTGCTCTTTATTCAGCCAAATAACCATCTTCCAGGCCTTGATGCGCCTGCCCTTTTCCCTGCCTCCCCTTCCTCTCCTCTCCCCTCTGCCACCCATCTCTCGGCTCGGCCCCCTCGCAGATTCATCGCCCAACTTCTCCTCTTCTTCATCACTCACATGTCTGCCTCTGCACTCTACCGAGCCATGGGAGCTATCCATATGTGCCATCTTCCAGGCCTTGAGACGGCACGGGATACTGAGGCACCTAAAGGATCATCTCGTTTGAAATTCCATGGGAGCAACCCAACCTTTTCCCCCTACCACCCACGCTATCCACCATCCCCTTCCTCGCAGATTCATCGCCCAGCTGCTTCTCTTCTTCATCACTCACATGTCTGCCTCTGCTCTCTACCGAGCCATGGGAGCAATCTTCCAGGTCTTGACGCGCCTGCCTTTTTCCCCTGCCTCCATCTCTCTCTCTCCTTCCCCAATACCACCCCTCTCCCTCTTCACAGATTCATCGCCCAGCTACTTCTTTTCTTCATCACCCACATGTCCGCCTCTGCGCTCTACCGAGCAATGGGAGCCATATTCCGCAGCACCACTCTCATCAACACGCTTGGAAACTTCGTCCTCGTCCTCCTCTTCCTGCTCTCTGGCTTCCTTATCACCAAAGGTATGTGCTTGTGAGGTGTCTATTGTGAGAGTGCTTCAAACGAATCATTACTACCAGAGATAGGTAACAAGATTGTTTCACCCATCCACCGAATTTCGCCCCCCACCCACTGCACCCTCATGCCATCCTCATCCAACCCCCATGCTCACACCCTCGTTCCCCTACTCCCCCATTCCCTCTCCCCTTGCAGATGATATCCACAGTGTGTGGGTGTCGGTGTATTGGATCTCGCCCCTCACCTACTGCCCCCTCATCCATAATCATCCAACCCCCACGCTCACAACCTTGCTGCCCTGTTTCCCTGCAGACGATATCCACAGCGTGTGGGTGTGGGTGTATTGGATCTCGCCCCTCACCTACTCTCAGAACGCCTTTGCCATCAACGAGTTTCTCGCCCCCAGATGGGATGTGGTACGTGCATATGGTGTGGCATGGTATGGTACGGTACGGTACCATGCCTTACTCTCAAAACGCCTTTGCCATCAACGAGTTCCTTGCCCCCAGATGGGATGTGGTACGTGCTGTGCTCTGTCCCATGCCATTTTATGGTACATTATGGTATGGTGCGGTGCGGTGCGGTGTGGTGTGGGTGTATTGGATCTCGTCCCTCGCTGACTTCCTTCACGCCTTCGCCATCAATGAGTTCCCTGCCCCCTGATGGGATATGGTACGTGCTGTGCCTGTTGAGGTGGTTTGCGGCTGCCACGCGGAGCGCCGAACGGCGGCTGCCACGCGGAGCACCGAACGGCGGTTGCTATGCGGAGCGCCGAACGGCGCTGTGGCTAAGACCTAACGGATCTAATCTACGACCTACGAACGGTGCAGAAGGAAGGAGCTATGGCAGCAAGGAGTTCGAGAAGAATCTGGAGAAGAGATAGAAAGGAAACAGGGGAAAGCGAGGAATACCTAGTCGCAATGTGAAGGAAATGTCGAGAATGTTTGTGGCTGGATTTGGGCCAACCACAGCGCACCGTAATCGGTGTAACTTCGGTTCGCTGGTTTCGGTGTCAGTTTCGGTTACCACGCGGTTTCGCGTGCGACGCGATATGAGACGCAGCGGACGCGTTACACGAGTCGCACATAGCTGAAATTGGTCGGATATATATTGCTTGTTCTGTTTTGCAATGTCATTACCATTTCCAGTGAAAACCCAACTGAAAATCCAGAGACTAAGTCCTGAAACCTGTCAACCTACATAGTGGCCAGAGACTATCGCCAAGTAACAGCTGGTATCAGAGCCTCGTTATAGGCACATTTGGATTCGTAATGAGCACATTTAGTGCGCGGAGTGACTTGGCGAATTTCGTCGACGGAAGGCGAATTTCGAAGGCATGGGAAACGGCGGCGGTGAAGCAAGCTCTGGTTCCTCGGTGAACATAGACGGCTCCCAGCTGCAAACACTCTTGGAGGCCCTGGTGCAAGGGCAAACAGTGGCCAAGCCAACGATAGGCTTGAGCGAGGCGCAACGCTTCAATGGAAGCGATTATGGCACGTGGAGATAGAAGTTCATCCGGCGTGCACGCGAGGTGGGGCTCTGGAGGCTCTACCATCCGACGAAAGGGGAGGAAGACGCGCCTCCATCTGAAATGGCGTCTGCACAAGTCAAGGCAGCATACCGGAGAAAGAGTGAGCAAGCTTATTTTCAGTTGTGTCATTCAGTTTCGGATGCTATCGCTGTGGGCCTTCACCAATTCGCGGACGACCTGAATTCTGCTGAGAAGGCATGGAGGTATATGGATGCGGTGTACCTCGGGCGGAGTGACACGAACCTGACTGCGATAAAAAGGAAGCTACTGCTGCTCGGAATGGAACCAGCAGAGAGCGTCATCGATTACGTAAACCGCGCTAAGAGCTACAACGAGTGTCTAGCGGCTATGGAGGCAGCAGAACCGGAAAGCCACATGGTCAGCTACATCATCAACGGCCTACCTAAGGACTGGGTGGGAGAGAAAGGAGTGCTCACCTGCAATCCACCGAAGGACATCACCCGCTTGCTTGAGATGCTGCAGTCGCTCGAGCAAATCCGCTACAACGGAGTACAGAGGGAGACGCTCGTGGAATCTGCCGAGGAGAAACCGGCATTGATGAACGCCTCTAAGGCAGCAAGGGGATTCGGCCCTGGCCCTTGCTTTCACTGCGGGAAGAAAGGGCATAAGGCAGCAGATTGTTACTCCAATCCACGCAGCCGCAACTTCAAGGGAAAACCGAATAGCATCGAAGGAGCAAACAAGGAAGGAGCGAGACCACAAGAGTCGTTTCCTGGAAACTGCAATCACTGTGGCAAGTACGGACACAAGGCGTTCGAGTGCTTCACCAACCCAGCCAGCAAGAACTACAGGGGAGGACAGCAGCGAACAACAGCACCACAAAGGATAAATGCAGCAGAAGCGGAGAAAAGCGAAGGTGACGCGATCTTGGGAGGCGCCCACAAGGCGAACGTCGCGCGAGCTTCTGAAGTGTGCCTGTTGGCGAAGGGGCTGAAGGAAACAAGTTGGTTTCTGGACAGCGGCTGCACGCAGCATATGACACACCGTGCGGGCTGGTTGCAGAACTTTCGACCCTCAAACATACCTTACGTGTTGTTGGGCGATGAGGGACAGCTACCTGTCAAGGGAGAAGGGGACTTGCTGCTGCAAAGTCCGTATGGGGAGCTGAAACTGGACAACGTGCTACTCGTAGAGAAGCTGACCCTGAACCTGATAAGTCAATCACAATTGGACAGCAGTGGGTGCAAGACATTTAGCGACAACGGCAAGCTGTGGGTGTTCGACTCCGATTGGAAGGTGGTTGCGGAAGGAACACGCAAGGAAGGGTTGTATGAGATGCGTTTGAAGGAGTGCAACAAAGCAGCAGAGGCAACCTTTCAATCTGAACCAGAGTAAGGGAAGGTGGCAGGGGAGGAACTACGGACCATGCTAAACAAGATACCGGTGGCGGTGCCACAGCAACAAACTCCACCGCTCGCTGCTGCAGTGGAAGGGATCACCATGGAAACACTCCATAGGAGGATGGGACACGCGAGCGACCAACGCATCAACGAGCTCTTGGATAAGGGCATGGCTGTTGGAGTGAAGGTATCCAAGGGGGAAAAGGAGAAGCTGAAGTGTGGTGCATGCGTGGAAGGAAAGTCTACGAGGACATCACACCCTAAGCACGGAACCCGGCAGCCATATGAGACACTCGAGATCGTCGCGGCAGACATATGCGGACCTATGCGAGTAGCATCTCGGCACGGCAGCAAGTACTTCATAACGTTCACCGACCTTGGGACAAGGCATACATGGGTGACTGAGATCGAAGAGAAATCTGAAGCACTTCCAAGCTTCATCGATTGGTTGGCGGAAGCGGAGCGGCAAAGCGGAAAGCAGCTCAAGGTGCTACGAACGGACAACGGAGGGGAATTTATCAACGCGGACTTCAACTCCTACTTGCGCGCTAAGGGCATTCGTCGCCAACTTACCATACCCTACACCCCGCAACAGAAAAGCGTGGCGGAGCGAGTGAATCGCTCGTTGTTGGAGAGCGTTCGAAGCATGCTATCGGATAGTGGGCTTCCCCTATCCTATTGGGGCGACGCTCTGGGGTTGGCATGCTGGCTGAAAAATCGCTTACCGACTACGGGACTTGCAGCGGACATCACGCCTCATGAAGCGTTTGACCATCGGAAGCCGAGCTTGGAGTTCCTTCGCGTGTGGGGCTGCATGACTCAATACCGTGAACCGGCTGGCCCCGATCATAAACTCCTGCCACGGACCAAGTGGGGGGTTCATTTGGGCATGTGTCCAGTGAGCAAAGGATGGGTGATTAAGAACGTGGACAGCGGCAAGGTGACAGCAACCCGTGACGTGATTTTCTACGAAAATCTCAACTACCGAGAGTGGAAGGACGGGGCAAAGGTTCCTGCAGCAAATGACAAGTCTACCACACCTCAACCAGTCCAAGAATTGCTGGGAAGTGGGGCTGATGGGATAGGGACAGCAAGTGAAGCAAGTGCAGCGGAGCTAGAGGACGAAGACTCACCCATGACTTGGGTGTGGGAGACTACCCCGACGCCTCAGGACGACACGGTAGCGGAACCTGAAGGGCAGCCGGGTGATGCAGCAACTAGAGACCAGCAAAGTGACCAAGCAAAGGACGACCAGCAGCGACCACCTACCAATGAAGCGAGTGATCCTTGGCGGCTGTTTGACTCGGACAGCAGTGACGAAGTAACGGGGGAGATTAACAGCTTGCTAGAGGAAGGTGCGATTCTGATTGGACGTGAGGAGGAGCAGCAAGATGAGAGCCAAGGACTCACTAGAACAGAAGCAGAGTCACCTACACCTGCCATACAAGAAGAAGAGATGGGCAGAGGCATGCGGATCAAGCGACCCAACCCAAGATACGCGATGATCCTCATGACTTGTCGGCGCGACGTGCACACCCACCTGCTACTTACCACAACGGCAACGGCGCTGATTTCTAAGGAGCAGCGAGCAACCTACGACTTACCGCCCGAACCAGTGACTGTTGAGGAAGCTCTCACGGGACCTTACAAGGAGAAGTGGCGGGCTGCAATTCAAGCGGAGCTTGACACGCTTGCCGAACAAGGAACGTGGGAGCTAGTCAAGATTCCGGAAGGAAGGCGCCCTGTTGGAGTCAAGTGGGTGTTCAAAATCAAGACGGGAGATATGGGGCAGCTTGAGCGCTTCAAAGCCCGATTAGTAGCAAAAGGCTACACTCAAGTGGAGGGTGTTGACTACGGGAAAACCTGCGCACCGGTCAGCAACCTCACAACGGCAAGAACGTTTCTCAAGGTGGTCGCAGCACGAAACTATCACTTGGTGCAATTGGACATCACGAATGCCTTCCTTTATGCCATTTTGAAGGAAGACATCTACATGAACCAGCCTCCCGGGTGCGAAGACGGAACGGACAGAAAGTGCAAGTTGCTCAAGACTCTCTATGGGTTAAAGCAAAGCCCAAGGGAATGGTACAAGACAATGAGCGAGCAACTACTCAAGATTGGCTTTGTGAAGAGTGAGTGTGACCGCGCATTCTACATGAAGGGGGAAGGGCAAGACAAGGTGTTTCTCCTACTCTATGTGGACGATATTTTGGTGGCGGGGGCAGTCAAAGAGAGAGTGGAGGAGGTGTGCACGCACCTGGCAGCAGTCTTCAAGGTCAAGCAAATCCCGAGAGCCACGCTTTTCCTCGGGATGAACCTGGAGCGAAACCGGCAAGAGAAGAAGCTGATGCCACATCAAAAGAAGTACTTTCAGCGGATGCAAGCAAGGTATGACCTGCAGGGGAAGGGACGGGCCATGGCTACACCTCTCAGCGGCATAGCGGAGAAGGAAGTGGACCCTAATGAGGAAGTTACGAGGTGGGGCAGCAGCGACAAGGCACTTACCGCCTATCAGTCAAGGGTGGGCTCCGTGATGTACCCCGTGTCATGCACACGACCGGACGTCGCCTATGCTGCGAGCTTCCTTGGACAGCAAGTGCTACAACCTGAAGGGCGGAAATGGAGAGAGATGGAGAGGACAATAACCTACCTGCTGCAAACGGACGATGAAGGCTTGTTGTTCGAGGGAGGAGAGGAAGACATGAAGCTAGTGGGGTACGCCGATGCCTCACATGCCTCGGACAAGAAAACACGCAAAGGTGCCTATGGCTACGTTTACCTTCTTGGAGGAACGGCAATCGCTTGGACAGCCAAGAAACTTCAAGACACCGCTCTCTCAAGCGCTGAATCTGAGTATATGGCGCTATTCTACGCATGCCAAGAGGGCGTGTGGCTGCGACGACTCCTACAAGAGTTCGACATCCCCATTCAAGGACCGACTACCATCCGAACGGACAGCCAATCAGCGATCGACCTTGCGAACAATGACAATTGGCATGGGCGCACTCGGCACATGGATGTGAGGTATCACTGGGTGCGCGAACAACTCGAGAGGAATACGTTTGAGCTCGAGCACGTACCATCAGAGGAGCAAGCAGCCGACTTTCTCACCAAGGTTCTGCCCAAAGCGAACTTTGAGCATTGCAAGTCACTCGTGGGTATCCGTACCCTGCGAGACCTGAAGGGGAGCAATGGGCAGCAGTACAAGCATATGGTTGCGGTACTGAGGGCTGCTGGTTACACGGTAACCTAAGTGATGCTGAGGAGTGGCACCCCCAAACCACAGGGGAGGTTGTTGAGGTGGTTTGCGGCTGCCACGCGGAGCGCCGAACGGCGGCTGCCACGCGGAGCACCGAACGGCGGTTGCTATGCGGAGCGCCGAACGGCGCCGTGGCTAAGACCTAACGGATCTAATCTACGACCTACGAACGGTGCAGAAGGAAGGAGCTATGGCAGCAAGGAGTTCGAGAAGAATCTGGAGAAGAGATAGAAAGGAAACAGGGGAAAGCGAGGAATACCTAGTCGCGATGTGAAGGAAATGTCGAGAATGTTTGTGGCTGGATTTGGGCCAACCACAGCGCACCGTAATCGGTGTAACTTCGGTTCGCTGGTTTCGGTGTCAGTTTCGGTTACCACGCGGTTTTGCGTGCGACGCGATATGAGAAGCAGCGGACGCGTTACACGAGTCGCACATAGCTGAAATTGGTTGGATATATATTGCTTGTTCTGTTTTGCAATGTCATTACCATTTCCAGTGAAAACCCAACTGAAAATCCAGAGACTAGGTCCTGAAACCTGTCAACCTACATAGTGGCCAGAGACTATCGCCAAGTAACAGTGCCATGGTATCATACATCATGGCATGGCGTTGTGCCATGCCATGTGGTGCGGTGTGATGTGGTGTGGTGTGGTGTGGTGTGGTGTGGTGTGGTGTGGTGTGGTGTGGTGCGGTGTGGGTGTGGTTACATTGGATCTCGCCCATCACCTACTCTTGAAACGCCTTTGCCATTAACGAGTTCCTTGCCCCTAGATGGGATGTGGTGCTTGCTGTTCCATGGTATGGTGTGGTGTGGTGAGGTGTGGTGTGGTGTGGTGTGGTGTGGTGTGGTGTGGTGTGGTGTGGTGTGGTGTGGTACTGTTCGAGACTATGCCCTACTCCCACAACACCGATGCCATCAATGATTTCCTCGCCCCCAGATGGGATTTGGTATGTGCTTGTCACGGAGTGGTGGGGTATGGTATGATGCCGTAGGCATGGTGTGGTATGGGGTATGGTATGGCAAGGCATGCCATGGTATGGTACGTACGGTATGGTATTGCATGGCATGGTATGGTATGGTAAGGTTTGGTATGGTATGGCATGGCATGGCATGGCATGGCACGGTACGGTACAGTACGGTATGGTATGGTCTGGTACGGTTCGGTATGGTATGGTATGGTATGGTATGGTATGGTATGGTATGGTATGGTATGGTATGGTATGGCATGATATGGCATGGTATAGTATGGTATGTTCTGGGACCGTGCCCTGTACACACCATGTCATGTGCATGTGGTACAATGCCCTACATACAAGTCTTTGTTAGGACAACTGCAAACTCTGACTCTCCCTTTCCTTTTATCCGACCCCTCACTCTTCTCGTCAATCCTCATCTCCCTCTTTCCCTTCCTCTCCCTCCTCTTCCTGCCTGCCATCCGCCCACGCTGGGGGAAGGAGAGGGGGCGAAATGGGGGCGGGGGAGTAGTGGAGGGCAAGGGGGGGGAGAGGAAGAGGAAAGAGGGGAGATAGAAACAGAAGGGTTAGTCAGAACGTCTAGCTGAGGAAGCATGCGGTGGCAGTGGAGCCGGTGCGGGAGAGCGTGAGGGAGCGCAGGGAGGAGTAGCGCGCAGCGAAGTCCAGATTGGTGCCCGCTAGCGCTGTCTCTCGGGCGTCCAGCTGATGCTGCGATATCACTGGCTGGGCCTTGGGCCACGCTGGGGAAGGGGGTGGGGGGTGAGAGAGCAAGAGAAGGGTTAGTCAGAACTTCTAGCTGATGCTGCGAGATCAATGGCTGCGCCCTGGGCCAGTGCATGACTCACGGTTATGGTTATGGTTTTGGTACTTGACGTGATGGTAAAGTGCTTGACTTACGGTTGAGGTATTCAAGTGCGAGGATGGTAACCAGGATGCAGAAGAGAGAGAAGAGTGTTGATACGTCTCGGGACTTCAACAGCTTACGATTGAGGTATTCAAGTGCGAGGATGGTAACCAGGATGCAGAAGAGCGTGAAGAGGACACCAACAGCAAGACCGCCCCACACCCAGAAGCCCTGCGTCCAAAGGCTGCGCCCTGTGAGCACCTGAATGCCCATTGTTGTGTTGAGCGATGGGGGGACGGAGGGCTGGGGAACAGGAGAGGGGGGGGAGGGGAGGGGATGGAGAGTAAGTCCAGCACCCAGTAGCCGTGCGTCCAGAGGCTGCGCGCTGTGAGCACCTGAATGCCCATTGTTGTGTTCAGCGATGGGGGGACAGAGGGGCTGGGGGCCCAGCCAGTGATATCCCAGCATCAACTAGACGCCAGGGAGACAGCGCTAGCCGGCACCAACCTGGACTTCGCCGCGCGCTACTCCTCCCTGCGCTCCCGCACGCTCGCCCGCACCGGCTCCACGGCCACGGCCCGCTTCCTCGCCAGCAACCGCTTCCGCTCCTCCAAGAGCCTCGCCAGGCCCTCCCCTTCTGCCCGCTCCATGAAAAACTTTTCCTCGGGCAGCCCGGCGGAAGGGGGAAGGGGAGGGGTGGAATTGGAAAGGGTTGGAACGATGGGCCATAGGAGGGGGTTGGGGTTCAAGGGCAGCAGCTTCATGGGTGGGGGGGAGTCGTTTCATCGCAGTGCAAGCCGTATGGGGTCACTTATGGGCAGTAAGACGGGGGAAGAGGGGGAAAACGGGTCGGCCTTCCCTGTGTCGAAGTCTTGGAGAACGTTTAGTATTGCTGGTAGTATTGGTGCTGGTGGTGGTAACGGTGCTGGTGCAGGTGCTGGTGCTGCTGTTGCTGCTGTTGGGAACGTGGATGGGAATACGGGCGCCAGGGGTGAGAAGCCGCGGCAGAGGAAAGCAGTTTCGTTTCTGAGCGATGCGAGTGATGGTGCAGGGGATACTGCAGGCAGCAGCACAGGAGGAGGAGAGGTGAAGCAGGGACAGAAGAAAGCAGTTTCTTTTTTAAGCGATGGGGATGCGAGTGAGGGTGGGGTGGTGAGCACAGTTAGTAGCACAGGAGCAGGAGAGGTTGGAGGAGGAGAGGAGAAGAAGCAGAGGCAGAGGAAAGCAGTCTCGTTTATGAGCGACGGGGATGCGAGTGATAGTGCAGGGGGGACTGCAGGCAGCAGCACAGGGCAAGGAGAGAGGCTTTCGCAGCAGCAGCAACAGCAGAAGAAGAAAGCATTTCTATCAAGAAACGACAGTCTTGAGCGGGATGGTGGTACTGAGAAGAAAAACGTGCTCTCTAGAAACGACAGTCTTGAACGAGATGGCGATACTGGTGTTGTTGATCTTGAACAATTGAAGGACCACGAGGATGATGCTGGTGATGAGTATAGCGAGTATGATGCAACCGGTGGTCCTGCTGGTGGCGGGGACATAGGCCAGCACGGCATGGTCCTCCCCTTTGATCCGCTCACCCTCTCCTTCCACAACGTCAACTACTATGTCGACATGCCCGCCAAGCTAAAAGATAAGGCCGGGCCGCCCGGCCAGCGGCTGCAGCTGCTGCACGGTGTGTCCGGCGTGTTTCGTCCTGGAGTGCTGACCGCCCTGATGGGGGTGTCTGGGGCAGGGAAGACCATGCTAATGGACGTGCTGGCAGGGAGGAAGACCGGGGGGTACATTGAAGGGGATATCCGGGTTTCCGGATACCCGAAAGTGCAGGAGACGTTTCTGAGGGTGTCGGGGTATTGTGAGCAGGTGGATATTCACACGCCCCAGGTGACCGTGCACGAGTCTCTGCTCTACTCCGCCTGGCTGCGCCTACCTGAGGAGATCGACCGGGATGTCATCCTGGTGAGTGAATGGGAGTGGTAATGGTGAGTGGAGGGATGTGAGAATGGTGAGTCAATGGTAGTGGTCACGGTGCGTGGAAGGGTGTTGTGGTGAGTCTTTGCTCTGCTCCGCCTGACTGGGATTGCCTGAGGAGGTCGACTGAGATGTGATACTGGTGAGTGGCAAAGAGGGGCGTGATTATGGTGAGTGGAGGGATGTGATTTTGGAGAGTGGAGATGTGAGTCACGGTAAGTTGAATTTTTAGTCAACTCAAAAATCCAATTAAAACCAGTGAAGGGAGCGCTGGTGTGAGACTCCCCAGACACAACACCCCCCACATCCTCACTCCCGTGTTGGCTTTTTAACAGGAATTCGTGGAGGAGGTGATGGATCTGGTGGAGCTAGAACCTGTAAAGGGGGCACTGGTGGGGACGGCGGGGCAGGACGGGCTGTCGGTGGAGCAGCGGAAGCGGCTGACCATGGCAGTGGAGCTCGTAGCCAACCCCGCCATCATCTTCATGGATGAACCCACCTCAGGTGATACCCGCCCATCAGGTACCACCTCCCTCTCAGGTAACCCCGCCATCATCTTCATGGATGAACCCACCTCAGGTGATACCCGCCCATCAGGTACCACCTCCCTCTCAGGTAACCCCGCCATCATCTTCATGGACGAACCCACCTCAGGTACTACCTTGCCCTCAGGTAAAGCCTTCACCTCAGGTACCACCTCCCTCTGATGAGGGCGGTGTACAACACAGTGAACATGGGTCATACACCACTCTTTCTCCTCTTTTTACCCTTCTCGCTTCAAGTCCACTTACATCCAGTTACAGGCCTTGACACGAGGGCAGCGGCCGTAGTGATGAGGGCTGTGCGCAACACAGTCAAGGCCAGTGGCACCTCTCTCCCTCACTTTTGTTCCTCTATGTCTCACATCTTACTCTCGCATCTCCCTCACATCTTTCTCTCCTCACATCCGTTCTCAGGCATGGATGCGAGGTCAGCGGCCATAGTGATGAGGGCGGCGCGCAACACAGTCAAGTCTAATCGCACCTCCTTCCCGAACCTTTTTTCCTCGTTCTCTCTCATCTTCCTCTCACATCTCTCTCACGAATTTCTCTCTCTCCTGGTATCCAATCGCAGGCCTGAATGCGAGGGCAGCGGCCATAGTGATGAGGGCGACGCGCAACACAGTGGAAACTTGTTGCACCTCTTTGCTTCACCAGCTTTCCTCTTCCTCTCACATGTTTCTCTCCGCCTACTCTCTAACCTCACTTCCAATCGCAGGCCTGGATGCGAGGGCAGCGGCCATAGTGATGAGGGCGGTGCGCAACACAGTGAACACAGGTCGCACAGTCGTGTGCACCATCCACCAGCCGTCCATTGACATCTTTGAGGCCTTTGATGAGGTACGGAATCATATAATATATATACACAGACAGCGAGTGCAGTATGGCTGCATACAGTTTCTTGTGCGCAACACAGAGCAGAAGGGTCGCACAGTCGTGTGCACCATCCACCAGCCTTCCATCGATATATTCGAGGCATTTGACGAGGTTAAAAATAAAGTGATGCTTATATTATATGTTTACGCACACACACACACACACACACACACACACATGCACACACACACACACACACACACACCCACACACACACACACACACACACGTTTGTGTATACATATATACATATATATATTGCACTGTTCAGTTTATATTAACTCATATTTATATGTATATGTATATATATATTGCACTGTTCAGTTTATATGAACTCATATTTATATATAAAACTAGTACACAGAAATGTTCACCTCAACGAGGCATGCAATAAAGTGCAATGAGATAACACCGCCGCTCAGTAATCAACACCACACACTAACTCGCCCCTCCCTGCTTATATACCACGCCTCCTCCACTGCGCCTATCTCGTACCTCCCCTCACAGCTCCTTCCTCTCCCGTGCACGCCTCTCCATCGCACAACGCTGCACCTCTCTCGCTTGTTGCCCCTAACTCCCCAATCCCAACCTCCCACCACCTTGCAGCTGCTGCTGATGCAGCGGGGAGGAGAGGTCATCTACACGGGGTCTATGGGAAAGCAGTCGTGCGACCTCGTTAGCTACTTCAAGGTAAGGCATCGGATTCGTCAAGGTAACTCCTCTTCTCCCTCCTTCCCACCTTCCGTCGTCCCTCCTCCACTCCATTCCATCCCCCACCCACTCATCATTCTGTAAACCACACCAGAACATGCTTACCTCGAGACCTACCCCCCAGTGCCTACCTCCCAACTCCAACCTCCTTCCCCCCTTCACCATCCTCCCACTCTCTCTCAATCCGCCCTTCCATTTGCCCAGTACATTCCAGGGGAGCCGCCCATCCAGCCCAGGACCAACTCCAAACCGTGTGAATGCCTAAGCTCATTGTTTCCTCCCTACCCTCTTCCTCCCCGTTTCCCCTACCTCCCCTCCTTATCCCCTCTCCAGGCCATCCCAGGGGTGCCGCCCATCCAGCCCGGCGCCAACCCAGCAGCGTGGATGCTCGAGGTCACGGCCCCAGCAGCAGCAGAGAGGCTTGGCGTCGACTTTGCTCAGATTTTCCGCCAGTCGGACCAGTTCAGGTGAGAACAGCAGAGAGGATCAGGTGTGAAAAGCAGAGAGGCTCGGGTGAGGTTAGCAGAGGCTCAAGTCCTTAGTTTTGTCAGACAAGCTGGTTTAGGTGAGAATGACAGAGGCTCCAGACAACAAGCCCTGCCTCTTCTTCCCAACCCAGCATTCCTCACAGACACTTCTCCCAAACAATCAGATGCCACCTTACCGCCTCTGCTCCTATCCTTCACTCAACCCCGTTCCCTTCTCCCATCACTCTTCTTTCCGCTCCTCTCCTCGTTTCTTCTCCCACACCCTTCGATCCATAGCCTCGCTGATCCAACCAGGCATGTTCCAGACAGCAGCAGCGCCTCTACAACATCGATCCCCTCCCTCCCTTACCCGTACCCTACCCCTTCTTTCTCCCCCACACTCTGCTCTCCCTTGCCACCGAAACCCTCAGGGCCATAGAGTCGCTGATCCAAGAATCCAGCGTCCCTCCCGAAGGGGAACCCGGCCTGTTCTTCCCAACGCAGCACCCCACAACACCGCTCTCGCAGTTCGCGACGCACGTGTGGAAGCGCCACCTCATGTACTGGCGCATGCCCGACTACAATGGCGCCCATTCCTTCTTCTCCTCCTCTTCACCCCCCGACCCCCAGTCACTCGTCCCTTACCCCCTTCCCACTCGTTGCTCTCCCCTCCCTTATCCCCCCAAATCCCCAGGGTGATAGAGTCGCTGATTCAGGAATCCAGCGAGCCGCCCGAAGGCGAGCCGGACCTCTTCTTCCCGACGCAGCACCCGACAACACCCCTTTCCCAGTTCGCGACGCACGTGTGGAAGAGGCACCTCATGTACTGGCGCATGCCCGACTACAACGGGGCGCGCTTCTTCTTCTCCTTCTTCATGGCTCTCCTCATCGGCGGCGTCTTCTTCGGCTTCGGAAACTCCCGGGACACGCCGCAACAGATTGTGAACGTCATGGGTGCTCTCTACACGGCAGCTCTCTTCCTCGGGTGGAGCAATCTCAAGTCCATCCAACCAATGCTGGCTGTGGAAAGGAGTATTTACTACCGGGAGCGGGGAGCCGGGATGTACGGAGCAATCCCGTACGCGCTCGCGCAAGGGGCGATCGAGCTGCCGTACCTGGTGGTTCAGGCTGTTGTGTACTCGCTAATAACATATGCAATGATTCGGTTCGAGTGGACGCTCGGGAAGTTCCTGCTGTACCTGCTGTTCCAGTTCCTCACGCTGCTCTACTTCACGTGTTTCGGCATGATGACGAGTGCCATCACGCCCGCTGAAGGGCTGGGGACGCTGCTCTCTGCCTTCATCTACTCCTTCTGGAACCTTCTGTGCGGCTTCCTCCTGCCTCAGCCGGTGAGTGCAGTGCTCGTTGCTATCTGTTTTTAAGTGCTCGATGGCCGTAGCCAGTGAGTGGTGGCCTGCTAGCCCGCATGCTTGATGGCTGTAGCTGATGATGTGCATCATGCATGTTGAGCTCTGTTCTCCGTTATTGAGTTCTCAACTTAACATCCCTGTATACTATAATTGAAATGGCTGTGTTAGATCAACCCTGTTAACTGGCCCTCTTTCTTCCTCCTTCTGTCTTGCTTGTTTGCCCCCTTCACACACTCGACAGAAAATCCCAGTGTATTGGATATGGCTGTATTGGATCAACCCTGTCGCGTGGACCCTCTACGGCCTTGCTGCTTCCCAGGTATACCTTCTTTTGCCTTGCTACTTCCCATGTGTTTTTTCTTCCTTTCTTTCTTTCTTTCTTTCTCCCTCGCTGCTTCCCAGCTATACCCCCTTTTGCCTCGCTGCTTCCCAGGTATACCTTATTTTGCCTCTCTGATTCCCAGGTATACCCGTTTTTTCCTCACTGCATTCCAGGTATACTATTGTTTTCCTTGCTGCTTCCCAGGTACACCTTCTAAGCCTGTATTACCTTCATATTTCACTCCTCCTACTCCTGTCCCCTGTTTTCTTTTGCCATCCCAAAATTCTCTCCACTTGCCCCTCGTTTCATCTCTGGTTACGTTACAGTTGGGAGATGTAACAGCGTTGGTGGTGGGTCCACCAGGCGTGCCAGCTCAGACGGTATCGCAGTTCATCCAGCTCTACTACGGCTTCTCCCACGACTGGCTCGGCTACGTCACTGTTGCTCTGCTCGGCTTCTCCTGTCTCTTCTTCTGTGTCTGCACCTACGCCCTCCGCAACCTCAACTTCCAAGCGCGTTGAGTCAGAAGCCCATAGAGTCGTTTTGAGTAGCCGGCCAGCTCTCAGACGGTATCGCAGTTCATCCAGCTCTACTACGGCTTCTCCCATGACTGGCTCGGCTACGCAACCGTTGCTTTGCTCGGCTTCTCTTGCCTCTTCTTCTGCGTGTGCACCTATGCCCTCCGCAACCTCAACTTCCAAAGGCGTTGAGACAAGGCAGTCAGAAGCCTGTCGGGATCTTATTGAGGCCAAAAAGACTGGCTGGGCTACGCCGCTGCTGCTCTGCTCGCCTTCTCCCGGATGTGAGATAAATGAGCCTTCCAGTGGCGATAGGAATACTGCTGGGTGGTAGGGACAGATGAAATGGCGGGATTAGATGGATGAAATGACCAGGGAATACTAAGATTCTCTGAAAATCAGAGCCATTTATTAGGCAACCCTTTCATTCGGGATATATAATAAAATCTACTACCTGTTCTGTAGTGTTTTTATTGTGATTTGTACAATTTTCGTAGTTGTCCGCGTGGTACCTCCCTGTGCCTTTATACACCCAGTGTATAACCAAATTACCCATATTGGATACAGCAGCAGTGCCAAGCTGGTGCCTCAGACTCGCCCCCCGCACGTCACGAGCATTTTGTCAAACTATATATCTCCAGTGTCAGGAACCTAGACTGGAGGGCAGAGCGAATCACATCCAGCCGTGCTACTTTCTGTTGCGTGAGTTGCAGCAGCGCGATCAGGCACGCGTGGTACACTTGGCCTCAGGGGCCAACACCACTAATATTTTCACCAAGGCATTTCAGTCTCATGATCATCAACGGCTCTACAGACAGCTTGGCCTTATTCCTGTAGGTCCTCACTTGGTAGATTCTTGAAGTCTGTGTCTTGTACTGTGTGTGGCCTTGCCTATATATACACTTAATTGAATGGCCTTGTGGCCATTTGTCTCGGAGGCTGGGCTAGTAGTACCGTATAACCCCGGATATAAGCGCATATGCGCTTATAATAAGTAATGATTTTTTAGGGGTGGCGCTTGTAATTGAGTAACGGCCATAAGCGCCGGCGCTTATGAAATGTCAAATTCGTTTTTTTTTTTTCCAAAGTACTAAACTGAAGCCCACAATAACGCGAACACAACTGTGTACGTTGCGCCTGGGATCGTGCATGAAATTCCGGCGAAAACTGCCGCGACTCGATTTCCCACCACACAGAACCTGTCCCGGAGCAACGCACCTGCCAGCGATGACGTGCATCCTGGCATGCGGCCCAATAGGAACGTCATGCGCTGCCAGGGTGCAACATCACACCCGAACCATCTAGAAGGGGGTGGAATCTACCTGCCAGCGCAGCAGATTCGTGCCGCGATTCCCTCCTCTCCGGGTCAGGCAGGGGGGCACCCGTCTATCCTCGATGAGGACCCCAAGCCGCTTCTCAGATGGGGTCCCCTCCAATCTTTCATTTCTGCACTCGTTTCATTCAGTTTTGGCAGTCCGTTTCTTGTTTTCTCCCGCCTGGCTGCGACAGCCATGGCGGAATTCACAGGCACTCATTTTTTGTTCAAGAAGAAGCCCGCGCGTAGGCCCGCCTTTGTAGTCGACGCCGACGGATGGTACTCCCGTGTCCGAGTTGAACCACCAGAGCCACCACAGCCTCCATCGCCTCCTGCGCCGCCTGCTCCTCCTGCTCCTCCTGAGCCGCCTGCGCCTCCTGCTCCTCCTGTTCCTCCGTCTCCTCCTATTCTGGATTCTCCTCTGAACACAGGGAATCCGCCCGTGCTCACGCTCCTGCTCCCGACTGCGTTCGACGAGTGGCTGGAGGAACCGGAAAGCAACAAGGCCCCAGATGTTGAGGTACCCGGCGCACCTTACCCTGGACCACGTTGGGGCCGGCCCGATGATTGCAGCACGTGGGACGAATCTGCACTCGGAGCTGACGACGACGTGGCTGAGGACGAGGAAGCGAGCCGTGCTGACGGCGACGAGGCTGCGGAAGCTGGCGCGCAGGGCGGAACCACAGAGGATGTGTTTCCTGAGGGTGTACCTGGTGGCGACGACGACGACGGTGTCGAGTACTGGTCACGTGACGGGCTCCCCGAGGAACTGCCGATACCTTCCTTTCCACCAGCTAACCGCAAGCGACCCCACCCGTCTACCCAGAACCGTGATGCCCGCCCCCCCTCTCCCAGGCACAAGATCAGCGATCACAAGCGCAAAGGCTACACAGCTGCGGAGAAGTTGAAGTACGTCGCGATGCTGGATGTGGCGGTGTCGGTGCGCGCACTAGCTCGGGCGAGTGGGATTCACCGGAAGTGTCTCGCCAACTGGAAGGCGGCTGCAGCATTTCTCAAAGAAGCACACACCGGGCGGAAGCGCATGCACGGTCGCGGGCGGGCCTCGTGGTACCGCCCCATGGAGTTGAAGGTGTACGAGCGGCTCCTGGACTGGCGCCGCAGAGGAACCGCTCCTGAAGGTGTACCCTGGAGCGGGAGTCAGAGATGGTCGGAGCGGTTTCGGAAGCGGTGGAATCTGAGCGTACGCATGAAGACGCGGGTTGCTCAGAAAACAGCCGCTCGTAAGATTACGCCCCTTGGTTTTACCGGTAAGTCTAAGTTTCTGCCTCCCTTACTAATCTGCCCTCTATCCCGCCCGCCTTTTCCCCCGTCTAACAGATGTTGCGCAGCAGTGCCAGAACTTCTGGCGTTTTGTCCGAGACATGCGTCGCGCGCGCGGCATCGAGACTACCTGGATCCTCAACGCTGACCAGACGCCACTCTGGCTGGAGATGCCCGCCACCACGACCGTGGATCAGACGGGCGTACGGTCGGTGCCCATCCGGGGTGCAGGTTACCAGAAGGAGCGTGTGACCGTGATGCTGGCGTGCACGGCGGACGGGGCGAAGCTCAAGCCGTGGGTGTTTTTCAAGCGGAAGACACTGCCGAAGGGCGACTTTCCTTGGGGTAATAGGCAGCAACTGCCGCTGTCTTACAGTATGTTTTTGTTTCTCATGCCGCGCTAACAGTTTAAGTGCCATTTGTGTGTGCAGATGTGGTCGTGGCTTGCCACGAGAACGGGTGGATGAACGTAGAAGGCGTCATCCGCTGGCTTGAGGAGGAAGTCAAGCCCTTCTTGAAGCCCCGGTTTGGCAGGTGTGCGAAGAGCTCCATGCTCGTGCTGGATTCCTACCGCGGCCACCTTACCGATGGGGTGAAGGAGAAGCTCCGCGAGATCAACTGCGTGCCTGCTGTCATCCCGTCGGGCTGTACGGCTGAGGTTCAACCGCTCGACGTCTCCATCAACAAGAGCTTCAAAGCATCTGTTCGACAGCAGTACCAGAAGTGGTTTGAGGAGGAGGGCCTGGAGCAGCTGACACCAGCAGGTACGTTGTTTCCGTTATTCACGCATGTTAATCCCCCCCTCACCCTTGGATGCTGACACGGCTTTCCCGGGTGTCTCTGTTCTGGTGCAGGGAATCTGAAGAAGCCCCCCCCAGAAGTGGTCCTTCGATGGATTTCAAGGGCCTGGAAAGCAGTACCCTCCGACCTCATCAAGCGCGCCTTTCTCACATGCGGCATTAGCAACGCCCTTGACGGCAGTGAGGACCACCTCGCCATGGCGCACAGGCGGAGCCAGCTGACGGCGGAAGTGGATGTAGACGACGGCATCGTCGCCAACGGCTTCTTTGGCAACAACTGCTAGGAGGCCGAGTCTGACGAGGAGTAGTTCTGGTAGCAACTAGGTAGAATAGCGGATCAAGTGGAAAGTTGTGTACCAAACTGTAGTGTTTGTTGAAGCGAACGATGTTATAGTTGTTGTTTGCTTTTGTTGTGGTGATAAAAATAGTGTTAAATATGAGGGTGGCGCTTATAATAAGGAAGGGTACAAAAGGGGGGGCGCTTATAATCAAGGAACGGCCATAAGCGCCATGCTCCAGATAGAAGCGCCGGCGCCTGTAATAGGCCGGCGCCTATATCTGGGGCCATACGGTATCGCCCCGAGTTGTATATCATACTTTGTTGTCTCTTGCTGGCTGGCCTTGTAGCCTCCTACCTCAAAGGTTGGACTAGTGGTGGCACCCCGAGTTGTTTTCTCATTTGCTAGGCACTACCCCTTACCTAGCCTAGGGGTTGTGTCAACATATATATATTTGTAGTTATATGTATATGTTATATGCTAAGTTAGGTTGTGCCA